CATTGTTTGTAAGAGCCAGAACCTGGAAACTACCTAGATGCCCTTCAATGGAAGAATGCATGAAGAAAGTATGGAATATATATACATATTAGAGTACTACTGAGTGGTAAACAAGGACTTCTTGAATTTTGCATGCAAATGGATGGAAATAGAAAACACTATCCTGAGTGATTTAAACCAGACTCAAAAAGAGGAACATGGGATGTACTCACTCATATTTGGTTTCTAGCCATAGATAAAGGACATTGAGCCTATAATTTGTGATCCTAGAGAAGCTAAGTAAGAAGGAGAACCCAAAGAAAAATATATAGGCATCCTCCTGAATATCAACCTTCTTCAGGCAATGAAAGGAGACAGAGACAGAGACACAATGGAGCACCGGACAGAAATCTCAAGGTCCAAATCAGGAGCAGAAGGAGAGAGAGCATGAGCAAGGAACTCAGGACCACGAGAGGTGCACCCACACACTGAGACAATGGGGATGTTCTATTGGGAACTCACCAAGGCCAGCTGGCCTGGGTCTGAAAAGGCCTGGGATAAAACCGACTCACTGAACAAAGCAGACACTGAGGACTACTGAGACCCCAAGAACAATGGCAATGGGTTTTTGATCCTACTGCACGTACTGGCTTTTTGGGACCCTAGGCAGTTTGGATGCTCACCTTACTAGACCTGGATGGAGGTGGATGGTCCTTGGACTTCCCACAGGGCAGGGAACCCTGATTGCTTTTTTGGCTGATGAGGGAGGGGGACTTGATTGGGGCAGCGGGAGAGAAATGGGAGGTGGTGGCAGGGATGAGACAGAAATCTATAATAAATAAATAAATAAATAAGGCACAGGAAAAGAGAAGGGAAACAAAAACAGGAACCAACATTCTGCTGTTTACAAGAAACACACCTCAACCTCAAAGAGAGACACTACCTCAGAGTAAAGGGTTGGGAAAAGATTTTCCAATAAATAGATCTAGGAAACAAGTGTGTGTGGTTATCCTAATATCTAACAAAATTCATTTCAAACTAAAATCAGACAGAAGAGATGGAGGAGGACACTTTATACTCATAACAGGAAAAATTCATTAAGATAAAGTGTCAATCCTGAATATCTATGTCCCTAATATAAAAGGACCCACATATGTAAAAGAAACATTACTAGAACTCAATTCGCACATCAAACCCCACACACTAATAGTTGATTTCACCACTCCTCTCTCACCAATGCACAGGACAATCAGATAGAAACTTAATAGAGAAATAAGAAAAATAACAGATGTAATTAATCAAATGGACTTAACAGACATCTATAGAACACTCCACACTTGGGTAGAATTCAGTCACAATGTTGTATGACTGTCAAAACTGTTTCTTTGTGGAAAGTCCAACAAATACAGACTTTCAAGGAGTCAAAGAGGTATGTCATGGTATGAAGCACAATTAGTAAAAACTTTGGGTCTGAAATTGGGTCTCAACCTGAAGACTGGAAAGAAAAACACCCAGTCACTGGCTCTTACCTTGACCTCAGTCTGAAATGGCAGTCTTGCCTCTTGGAATCTGAGAAAGAGACTGTGTCTGAGAGCTGTCTCCCTTCCCCATTTTATATTTCCCTCTAGGTTTCGAATTAAAGGCATGCAACACTGAAATAAAACCATGCAACGCCAGATGTCTATATTAACCAGGGTGGCTACTGGGATTAAAAATGGTTTTTTGTTTACCGTAATCTCTTCTATAACGCTGAAAAGTAAAACAGTTTTACCCTCATATCTTCAGACAGTATTTATTAAAGTACAATTGAAATGCCTCTACATTTCCCTTTTTTGCTAAAAAATAATAAAAAGAAGGCTATAATTAATATAAAAACTATATACAATAAGTACAATGACTGTATATGAATATACAGGGAAGAAATATATCCACAATATGAAGTCCATTTGCATTTGACATATTGAGAGAAATATTTAGTCTGTAGCTTATCTTAGTGAGTCCAAAGGCTTATAGCTAATTTACTTTCTATCAATGACTTACTTTTGCCACAAAGAAAGTAAACCCCATGTGGAGTTTCTTCAATATCCATTAT